CTCCTTCTTCGACCAGTTCGTTTACTGCTTTTACGGCTGCTCTTCCTTCAGCTCGCAGAAAAGTTTGTTGCCAAAAATTTGCCGCCATTGGGTGTGAAGTTGGCAACCCATGCCAAAGTGTCCCGTTCTCCGGTCTCCGCTGCCGCTCGCTTTCCACTCCACGCCCACTTTTCCCGCTTTTCCAACTCAACTCCATTCCCTTTGCTGTCGGTCCTACATACTCGCATATTTTGCTGGTGCGGAATACCTTAAGGCTCTTGGCGTGAATTTTATTTCAGTCGCCGGCGCTGCTGTTGTGGCCGTAAACATGCCGTCACACACTCCCTCTTCGAGCACACACACACACCCGCTCTGACGCATAAAAGATACACCTTACAAACGGAGTGTTTGATGCACTGAAAGATATAAAGCTGGGAGGTTGAGCAGGCTTGATGTATTTTCTAAAGAATATATTGAACATTCATTTTTTCCTACAGAGTTTGTTGTTCCCTTACTATTTTCCTGAGTGCATCGGTTGCGTTTTCTGAGTTCACCTGATGGGCGGAGTGTGGGCGTGGCACTGGCACTGCACACTCGAAACACCTTCCACAGCAGGAGGCAGTCAACTTTGCGGAAAATCGTTTGAAGCGCTTTGCACTTCGTCGACATCTTTCGGCTTGCCAAGCTTCCTCAGGAGCTCAGTGTGTATGTGTTGTGGTGTGTTGTGCGGTGTTGTGTGGTGTGTTATATGCCTTGCATTGTTCTGCAACTAAGCCAAAAACTTCAGCCCGAAGTTGACTATTTATGGCTTTTTATTTGCGGTCCGCTGGCTTGTGCAGCTCGCGATGATCGCTTTGTGGGTTTGAAATTCGTCTGGCAACTTTAAGCCGTGATCCATTGGCCGGAATCCGCAACGGGCCATAACTCATTTTGGCCGCTGCACGTGTCAGCAGACTGAGTGTGACAACGGAGAAGAAGACCATGGCGTCTGGTGGCCGGCAATGCACCTTCCGGTACCGGTAGGGGCACCCTCTTCCTCCGTTCTCATCGCCACCAAAGTTCACCCTGAGGAAACACACACACAGAACCCACGCAAACAAACGCAGACCGACAGCCGCAAACAAACAAAGACACCACCGCATACACTCAACCCGAAACTTTGCTAGTCTGGCCTGCACTGAGCCAAAAAGGGGCTTAAAAGAGTATGGAATATGTACAGATATCACTACCATCTCGTAGGTTATTTGAAGAGTATAGCTTCATATTTTTCTCTTGGTGTAACTCTGCTTGGCCCGAGTCTGGTCCCGGCAATCAATCCAAATGATATACACATTTCAGACTTGGCTCAGTTCTCCGCTGAGCTCCTGCCAGCTCCGCTCCGCTCGGCTTGGCTTGGCTTGGCATGTTTGCTCAGGGCGGCGTGGGACGAAGGATTTGATGTATTTGACAGATAGACTCCGTCCGTCGGTGATTTTTTACGGTCGGATAGGAGGATAGAAGTGTGTGGCCTGCGGAGTTCGCACAATATGTCCAAGTCCTGGGCAGGAGCATAGCGTGAGCAATGGCTCTGCGGTCAGCGGGCCTTGGGATTATTGATATTTAAATGGCAGGCAGGCAAATTGCCTGCAAAATATGCAGCGAATATGTGTAAATGATGCTTATAAATTATGTTAATGCCGCACAGTGGTCACATATCTTTTCCATTTAACATATTTGGTTGGTTAATCAAAGGGATTCTTATAAAAATGTTTTACAAACATTAAAATGCTTTATATAATTGACATATCTCTCTTTAATTACACACATTGTTTTTTTATTTTGTACTGTAAAATACTGCAAAAAGTCTCAAAGAAATATTTTTCCTCATAGACTCATATGCAAATTTGGCATTTGACTGTATTAAAAATGCATTAGACTGCCGGCACACGGCCCACGACAGGAGCTTAGGCTTAATTCAATTAAATAATGTGGAGCAGCTGTCCTGCGATCGTCATCCAACCGGGCCACACTGGCATCTAATTAAAATAATGATACCCCTCCCATCCCCGAGTTTTGCGGCCTGTTTTCCGCAGGAAATATTTGCGGGGCGTGGCGATTGCCTTGGACTATGGAAGGACCCAGGACCGGACCCAAATCCGAGGTCGGAGCCGGAGTTTCCGGCCAAGAAAGAGCGGTGGCGGCATCAGGGCGTAACGAAATGCGCATAAAACAGGGAGAATTTACAGCCAGAGTCCTTCTTAATGTGCCATGGCGAACCGCAGGACACTGCCTGCCAGAAATCAGACACCAGTCGCAGGAGGAGCTGCCTCTCTGGGCGGCTTTTGGCCTCATTTTGAGCGTTTATTCATTGTGCCTTTTAAGAGCTTCCGTTTCGTCACGCATAACGCTTTCGAACGACAATGACACGAACATCAAAATCATCAGCATTATCTGCACAGCCACACGGAACACGAAACACGGAGTCCGGGCTGCGGACTGTGGACTGCGGACTACGGACTACGAACTCCGGGCTCTGGACTCTAGACCACGGTCGGGATCCGGGAGTTTCGCCAGTTGAGAGTGTCCGTGGATAGGAGAGCTCTTAAACGCCCGCAGTCCAACTACAAAATAAAGCGGGGTCCGGGGAGCTTGGCTAAGTCAGTGATGGCCATTTGAGCTCTTTTTGATATAATTTTTATGAAGATAAATAAAGAAAGATTTTCTAATTTACTTAGAAATATTTATTTTTCTTGTTTAACTATGATTCTAGGACAAAAGTCTAACAGTATTTTTGTTGTTGAATATTTTTAAAAGTTGGTAATTTATTCGGCTATTTTTAATTTGTCATAACATCTCATTAACAATGTTTTAAATATAGGAAAACACCAGTAGAAAATCTCTTTAATAAGACAATATTATCTTCTTGTTTTATTATTTCACTTTTGCATTTTAGATAGATTAGTATGATTTTTCTTAGCTTGTTTTTCTTGTTCAAGGGAGTAGCTGCCATCACTGGCTTGAGGTTTTCACACCGCTCTCCGCCCGCTTGTTTGGCCAATGAGTGAGGTGTTCCTGTCCGGCGCTCCTTGTCGCCTTGTGTCCTTGTCTGGCCATGTTTGACAACATCTAGGCAAAATGGCGTCGCCGGCGTCGTCGTTGAGGTCCTGCATGACATGGCGTATGCGTAACGTAGCGTTTACGAGCATGTTTTTATCGCAATTGACATCATCCGAGGCGCTTGTAAACATTTGTGCATATTTTAATTTAATGCTAAGCACAACTATAAGCACATCAAATTTCATTGCACTCGCCGCTCGCCACTCGGCCAAGGCAAATAAATAAGCAGACCGACACACACATAAAGGGAGTTCCGTTGGCATAAGCAAACAATTTATATAATTACCCGCACAGTCGCTGCGCTTAACTGATTGCTTTATTATTTTTTTCGAGTGTCATGTTTGCCGTTTTAATTCCGACAACAATCCGGCAGCAGCATAAATATTTACGAAAATCCCAAGCCCAAGTCCAGCTCGTCCCGCAAATCTCGTCCGCAGTAATAACCATAATGGCCGGCTACAAATAAAAAAATGCTCGGCTTAAACACATGCAAATATTATGGTAAATAAATTTGTTCACATCATCAACACATTTACTGTGCGCTGGCAACTTAATTACACATGTAAACAATTGAATCAATAGCACAATAAAAACCACGGGCGCCGAGCACCATCTGCCGCTGATTGGTTTCGGCCAAATAGTTGGCCAAGAGGTATGCCCATGATTACGGCCAGCAGACTCACCTCACTCAAATGTGAAAACCATATTTGGAGGGCACGAATAACAGTCAATGGGAAAAAATATGGTTTGCAGTTAATTGATGATTATCAGTCAAGTCCAAACATTAAATGCAATTTACACACGTCAAGGGGTAGAAAATGGGGTGTGTAAGGGTACGAGTCAAGATGAAAGGATAATAAGCATATATAACGAATGACTTGGGTCTTACATATGTTAAATTCTATAAAACTTCTAAATTAAAATTACACTTTTGTTGAATTTCCAATCAACCCAATATGTTTCCGAAAACACAAACTGATGGCAACACCTTCAAACTTATCCTGGCAAATTCAACTGAAAATGGCAACGTTTTTTAATGCCACTCGACGTGAAGTGAAATGAGCAGTGGCTGCCAGCGGATTTTTGTAATTGCCACTTGTCGTGTAAATAAAACGAGTGCCACTGTCACATGTCAGATCCTTTTGGCATTCACTCGCTATATACCTGCATATATTACTGCTCGCACTTTCAAGTGGCGCATGTTCAAGCTTTTTTCGTCAGGTGCAATGACGCATAAATTCGGGCACAATATGCACCGCTCAAAAGTGGCCCAATAAATGCGAGTGGAAGTGGCAATGTTGCAACATGAATGATTCGGGGCGATGCGATGCTCGACTATAAATAAACTCTTTATGCTGGCATTAATAAATAAAATACTAGCTCCGGCACGGGCCGGGTCGGGCCACTAATCACTGCGCTGATTTATTCGAATTGGCTGTGGAATTTATGACAAGATTTGCCAATGCCACCAGCTCCCAATCCGTGGCTAATTTTAAATGGAAATGTATATTGCTTCCCCCCTTGCACCGCAAACAAATCAACTCAAGTGTATCGAAATGAGTTTCGGCTGACTCTCCCCCGCTATCCTCGCCATCATCATGATGACGATGATCATCATCTCCCCCTCGGTGTTTCAGTATGCCAAAGGCTGTGACATTTCATTCGCCGGCAATTAGAAGTCAATTTCACGCGTCGCTCTCGCAGCGAAACCATAAATTAGGCCCGACACTTGTCCGGCTGAATGCGACTTAAACGGCTCAAGGTATTATTACCACCCAGTTTGTATTATATGGGGAATAGAGAAAGAATTTAAGGCCCCAGCGACGCATTCCATTCGGTTGTCAGTTGTATTCTAAAAGGGCTATAATTTTAGAAAGACAAAGTAAAGTATCTTTAAAAACCAAAAGGCTTTAAAATTATTGCAATTCAGCTTTAAAATCATAGAATTTATATTTATTTGGCATCCCAAATGGCTTCGCTAGGGTCACATAATAGGAGCCCCTCGATTACTTAGGACGTGAGTCGGAAAACCGGGACGATTTGGAGGTTTAAGAAGGTTGAAGGTACGGAAACCTCTAGCATTCGGAGAGACAATATATTCGAGAACATCTAAATGCATTACTGCCTTGGATGTGTTATGGGTTCAATGTGAAAAAGGGGCTCAGGCTAGTCAAAACTGTTGACTGCATAATTATCATATTACTCTTCTGTTTCTCCGCAACATACATGCATAAATTAGCAACCAAAAAGCCAAACTGATTGCCTTTTACCCAATTAAGACATCCATCGATTAAGCCATCAATCACTTCATTCCAAAGCCGGCAAAGCGTAATTTATGATGGGAAATTCCTAAGACGAGGCAGCAGGCGATAAATTTACAGTTTGCAAAACGTTATTAATTGCTAATTACCTCCAAGCATGATTAATGCCCGCCTGGTCCTGCAGTCTCGTTCATCACCATATTGGGCATCTCCATTGATTGGGCCTTTACACAGAGCCATAAAATGTCACTTTAATAATAATAATCCAAAATATTGTGTTGCAATTTCCCACTGTTATAAATACTACAAATTAATAGAAACAATACAAAAAAATAAGTCGTAGTGGCAAGCTTGAAAGGCCACTTGTGTGTGATAATGCAATAATTTTCCCCTTGTGTAAGGAAAAGCCATATCGGGGTTTCCGCTCGATCCCTGGCGTCAGCCACGTGTGACTTTCTTAAGGGCGGGCGGGGGCCGAGCGTGAAACTGCCGTGTAATGTAATTATTGCAAAACTATTCATCATGTTTTGGGCACTGCCCCCGGCAAACAGCAGCCACTTAGATGCCGCGCCAGGGGTCTGTCAAACGTGGCGTATGAGCAATATGGCCCCCTGAACTTAAACCCCAACCCCAAGCTCGAACCCAAACTCAGATTCAGACACAGGCGAACAGTCGCATGCGTGCGAGGTTAACTAATTAGCATGTCAAAGCCATCTATAATGCCATGCTGAAGCAATTTCAAAGTGTGGAGAGGAAAGCCAACCCAAAGGCGCAAATCCCGTTTAATTATGCTTTTATACTCATAATCCCCAACCATGTTTTTCAGCATAATGTGGACTGTGGCCCTTAAAGAACACACATCCCTCGCTTCTATCTGTTTTGATTAATCCTTTGTCAATGGCTCGGACTTAGGGCGAGCAACTAATTGCCTCTCCATGGGACGGTAGCTTTTGCTGTCATAAAACAAAACGACCAACACGGCTCAATATTAAATTAAATTAAATTTGTCAAGGGCCTTCACGGAACACTGACATGGACTATTAAACAGGCTGCGATGATATGTGAAGGGTTGTTCACAGAAAATTGTGGGCCCCAAATAATCTACGTCATCTTGCTCTTTAAATTGTAAATAATTCGAGCTTAGAACCGTTACGAAAGTTAAGAGTCGTAAAAACTGAGAAATTCCTTTTGATTTGGAACGAAGGTTAAGTATTTATCTATTTTCGTTTTATAGAAAACCTAATACATCTTATTCTTTAATAAAATCCAATTCTTTTTCATTTAGTTCCGGTTTATTTATTTTCCATCAGAACTTGGATGCCTGTGTCTTCGCTGTAGTCCGTACACGTGATTTCTGTGCTCGTACAGTCCCTGTTTACCAATCTTGTGAACACATGTTCCTCCCTCGTCAAGGACTTCGTAAGGTCGGCAACGACGTCTGGTTTTGAGCTTCCTTCCTGGCAGCATGTGATATGGTCGGGGTCGATTGTGATTAATCGAGCGAATGGAGTCGGTGTCATTCTCCAAATCGATCGTTTCTTGTCCGGCTTCGTTATTTGAATTCTGGCTGCCTTCTTTATGGATCATTTCATTTCCATCTTCATTATTTGAATTCGGCTTGTTTTCCTTGTGGATCGTTTCTTTTCCGGGTTCTTTATTAATATCCGTATTTATATGTACACTATTAATATTCGTATCTGTATGTAAACTATTCAGATGAGTACAATTACAATCTTCATTCACATTACCATCTGCTTCTGCGACTGGTATTTCCTGTCGCAACCTTAGTAAAATAAAACACACAAATATAACAAGCCTACTTGAGCAGGAGTTCATTATGCGACTGTCAACCTGTTGATCTTATTTACAACTTTTCTGTACTTGTTAAACTATTCAACCGCTATCGAATCTATTCGTCTGGCTGTACCATGAAAGAATCAATTCACACAACTTGTAAACACTAAATTTGTTACAGAAATATTTGTACTTCATACTGTTTTGTTTGTTTGTTTGTGCAAATCAATTAACCAAATTGTCGAAGTTCATGTCCCAGTAACATCGCATCCTTGGTCGTGAGGTAGCTACAACTGAGTCTGAATCGATCTCTTGAGTCCTTATAGAAAATAAGGCTCCAACGTCAGAATTCTTACTGGGGAAACCATCTAACCATTCCGTGTCTTGAAGTAGAAGCTGAATTGGAACTTCTGGACTCTTGCTAAAGGTTCAAGGATTCCCCTCTTCTTATTGGACAAAAGCAAATCTAAAAGGTCTTCATTTCTGAGGCAAATTTTAGAATAAAGCTTTAAGATTTGGTGCAATGAGAGGTGCCATTTAGTCCCAACATTTTTGTATGGCTTTTATTTTTCATAAATTAATAGTTCGTATTTTGGGGAAAGATGTTTTATCTGCGGGTAGGCTTCATTGTTGTGGGACGTCTTCTGCGAATGCATCGCTGATTCTTTCCCTGAACCTCATTTGGTCGGCATCTTTTGCCTTTGTCTAGCTTTCTCCCCGGCAAAAATACGTACTTCCATGGTCGATCTTTTCCAGTAACTCGAGTGTCGCTGCTGGGGCGTTGGTGTTTTTTCTTTTTCTTGGTCTGTTCCTGCTCATCGTCACCATTATTATCCGAAGGTTTGATAATAGAACTCTGGTGTTGGACCGTCATCGCTTTCTCGCAACCGGAAGAAGTCACGTTTTCCCCGACTTTGCACTTGATGGCGTCAACTACACCTTTTCCTTTGTCCAATCCTTCGTCCTTCGAGGATGAACCTGCCTCTACGGTTTGAGGTACATTCTGTGGGGCCTGAAGCGATCTCTGTAATAAACTGAGCCCAAAGATCAGTGTGCTAATGAAGCTCGTCTTCATCATTCCATTAAACTAACTAGCTTCTGATCAGAAAAGAAACTAAAATTTAGTTTCACGGTTGATAAACTCAATGTATGTGCCATGACTAATAACTGCTACTTATTAGTTGATTACTTAACAAGCTTATTTAATATTATTAGTTGGAACTTTTAAAACCTAATTACCTTAACCAAGCATTTATTATTAATATTTAGTTGCAGCTTTCAGCTAATTAATATCTTATATATTATCTTTCAGGATCTTTAGAGTATGAGAGATCAAGATTTATGTAGTGACATTATTTTGAGGTAAATAACACAAGCAAAATCAATTTGAGAACAACAGGAGTCCTCTAGGATCCAATGGGGGAGGTTGTTCCCCTTTGGAGCCTTGTTGTTTCGTTGTGCAATCTCAATTTCCCCCACAATAAAATTAATGTTTTACGTAGCCAATTCCGAATCGTTTATTTCACATAAAAATGCGATAAATAAGCGGCGCATCCTGTGCGACGCCGTCGAAGAAGACGCCAAGGATAAGCCGCCGCTGTTGCTGTTGCTGCTGCTGTTGGTTGTGGGCGGTTATTGTTGCCGTGGAGTGCGGTTCCTCTCCGTGTTTTTATTTTACTCGTTGCGCACCTCCAGCATCGTGTATTTATAGCGCAAACAATGCAAAGGATGTTGTGCAAGGACATACGCGGCGGATTAAAGCGGAGCGGGGCGAGGCATGGTGGCGATGCGGCGGGAAACTACGAAAGAGGGTGGAGACTTTTGAACAAAGCGACGCTTCTCCTTCTTGCTCCGTCTCTTTGACTCTGCCTGGTTAAAAATAAAGAAGGAGCCACCACATCGAGACCAGGAGACAAAAGCTGCTTCAGCTCCTGCGGCACTGCTTATGTCCTGGCGCACGTTGAAAACAACAACAGCGACTGAACAAAGGACTGTGTTGGTAACGAATGTGGGTATACCCTGGCCAAGGGAAACTATAATATTAAATTAGAATTTTAACATGGATATATAGTATTTAATACTTTAGATATATGAGAAAAGCCCTGATATATTTTAGTTATATTTAAATTTACTTCCAGTTCAAATATCCCAATTTCCTAGAAAAGGGTAAGGACACCAACTACCAAGGAAGCTGGACAAGGATAAACGAGATGAAGTGGTAGTAGTAAGTAAGAAAGGGGCGGCAACAATGGCGGGCCACGTGACCCCGCCGAAATCCTGGCAACTCTGGCTCTCGTTTTGCGGCTGCTGTTAAAAATTTCATGTTAATGGCCACACGAAGATTCGCTCTTAACCCTTTTGCCCCGCGGTTGCGTGGGTGCCTCGCTGGCACCCAGTGGGTGTCCGTGTGTAGCCCTGTGTGTATCTGTGGGCAGGGATGTGGGCAAGTGTGCGTAACAGGTCATTGTCCCACCGTTTTTCGGTCGCACCTTTATGGCGAGGACAAGGCAGCTTATTTCCTTTGGCCGTCCTTTTTGCAAATTTCATTCCAAGCCCTGCACACGCAAGCGACCTGCGCGCTGTCCCTTTTCCGTCGAAAAGGAAATTGCTTTAATTAAGGATATCTTGTGAAATGTTTGCTCATATTTATAACCCCCACGGTTGGCCGGGAAAGGTGGGGAAAGGTGAAAACTGAAAAGTAAAAACTAGAAAAAGGTGCGCAATCAAAGGCGGAAAATCGTTAGAGAATAAAATCGAAATAACAAAGCGGCCACAGGAGAGAGATACGGAATAAAAAGGACAAAACAGAAGGGACGCAAGACGAGGACATAATGCGCTTTTCTCGCTGGTGGGTACGGTTTGTTTTCTCCCCATTTTTTTTTCTATTCTTTTGCCCAAGGACCTGCGGACATTTCGGTTGCCTTCTGTTTTTCCAGAGGTCCTTTGACTATTTGCCATCTTGCCGGCTTCATTTGTTTGTGTTGGCTTGTCAGCGTTCAGCGTTCAGCGCTCAGCGCTTTGGGTATTTCGCCAGGATAATAAGATAAAAGCTTTAGTGCCATTCGGGCCAAGTTAGTTAATTGCGTGAATGGCACTGGCGCTCTCATTTTATTCCGCCTTATACAGCTCTTATTCCGATTGAATCGTGCAACCAAATTGGGTGATTAGCAGTTGCACTTCACCGGCGCTAATCCCCCGTAAGTCCCCAAACTTGGGTCTGGTCCCATCCATCCTCCACTTCCGTTCGAAATTTCTCCCGGCAGCAGCCAAGCTGCCGCTCATCTTTTATTCAACACGCAACAATGACAAGTAAAATTTCACCAATGGAGCACATGAAATTCATGCAAAACACTTTGATATTCATATAGTTTTCTACGTGTACAGAGAGAAATAAATCAGGAATGAAGAAGGGGGTGAAGCCATTTTTGGAGGGTTTCTCTATGAGAGTTTGGATTGGAACTTTAACAGGGGACAAGGTCCAAGGCACACAAGGAGAGCACTACACTTGCACTAGAATTCACAGCGAAACCTATGTTTATTTGTGTGTATAATTTCTTTATTTTCACATAATTATATCTCTACTATTTTTTGCCAGTGCATCCGTGCATGTATACCGTATGTATATAGCTGTGCGGCCTGCCTCAAGTGTTGAGCAAAAAACAACAAATAAACATGCAGGCTGGCTGGCAGGCAGGCAGCAACAAACAATGGCAATTGTTTTTGCCACACACACACGCATACATTCGACACATGCAGTGCCGCCTAAATGTTCATGAATGCTCCATAAAATATTAAATGTTTATGAATTTCAAAGGGCCCCTTAGTTCATTTGCATAATCCCTATGTCCTATGTTTGCCGGCAAGTGTTTATGCGTGTGTTTCTGTGTGGCCAAGTGTCACATATCGTTAGTCTGACTTGTGGCAATAGCTGGAAATGTGTCACATCAGCCTGGAAAATGAAGGATGGATACTTGATGGGAGAGTCAAGTCGCTTTCAAGTGTCCCACTTGCCTTTTAATTTCTATTTATCCTCTATTCTCTTTTGGCATTGGTGTTGTTAAGCCTTGTATAGCACACAGAAAATTATATAAAAACAAGAAAGGAAGCTAACTTCGGGACGCCGAAGTTTGTATACCCTTGCAGATTTGGTTTTTATATTATAGATTTAAATGCTGAAAACACTCACAAGACAGAGTTTCATTAAATTTTACCTATACTTATTATGTTTACAGTTTGACAGTTTCAGTTTTACATTCCCAGCTTTACGTATTTTATACATTTACGGATCGCTTCTATGGCAGCTATATGATATAGTTGTCCGACTTTTATAAAATTTATACCACAATTCTAGAATTTTAAACATTTAAAATTTTTAAAAAACTGTTCTAAATTTAAAAAATTTTTCTGAATTTAAAATTTTTTTTTTCTGAATTTTCCACATTTTTTAGATTTTTTATATTTATTTAAGAATTTTTTTTAGAATTAAACAAAATTTTTTTAAATATTTTAACTGCCAAATTTGAATTTGAATTTAACTGCCAAATTTGAATTTGAATTTAACGACGATCAGTTTCAGTGTTCCCAGGTGCAGTTGTAAAATAACTCCTAAATCTGGATTGCGCCGGCTCCTAAATGGTTTGGAACTTGGACAATATATAACAGTTTATACCAGTTTTCAGCTGCTTGCTGCTGATTTCTCTTCGCCTGTTACCCCAATTTGGGAAACGGGCAATTTGCTTGAAAATGTTCGGAAATTTGGATGGGCTGCTGTAGGGATGTTGTTGTAAAAAGGTTGTTGTTGCCATAAGCTTTTGTTGTCGGCAACAAATAGGTATAAATGCATAAAATGACATATAACAGTTTATACCAATTATTATTTTTGCCCAAATGTTTTTATAGCAGTTTATACCAGTTTTCAGTTGCTTGCTGGTGGTTTCTGTTCGCCTGTTACCTCAGTTTGGAAAGCGGCCAATTTGAATGAAAAGTTTTGCTCACTTCTATCAGTGATGCTCACTTTCATCAGTGATGCTCACTTCCATCAGTGATGCTCACTTCCATCAGTGATGCTCACTTCCATCAGTGATGCTCACTTCCATCAGTGATGCTCACTTCCATCAGTGATGCTCACTTCCATCAGTGATGCTCACTTCCATCAGTGATGCTCACTTCCATCAGTGACGCTCACTTCCATCAGTGATGCTCACTTCCATCAGTGATGCTCACTTCCATCAGTGATGCTCACTTCCATCAGTGATGCTCACTTCCATCAGTGATGCTCTCTTCCATCAGTGATGCTCACTTCCATCAGTGATGCTCACTTCCATCAGTGATGCTCACTTCCATCAGTGATGCTCACTTCCATCAGTGATGCTCACTTCCATCAGTGATGCTCACTTCCATCAGTGATGCTCATCACTGGCAGCTAGTGTGAGATGCAATTTTCTACCAATAATGCAAAAAAATAGCTAGATGAGCATCATTGATGCACATGCGCATCACTGACATTAAGCCCGACTTTATTGACCTCCAATATTGAAATATAGCCAGATGAGCATCACTGATGCAGATGAGCATCACTCAGGCAAGTGAGCAAAAATTTCCATCCAATTTGGCCGTTGCCCAAACTGAGGTAACAGGCGAACAGAAACCAGCAGCAAGCAACTGAAAACTGGTATAAACTGTTATAAAAACATTTGGACAAAAATAATAATTGGTATAAACTGTTATATTTCATATTATGCATTTATACCTATTTGTTGCCGACAACAAAAGCTTATGGCAACAACAACCTTTTTACAACAACATCCCTACAGCAGCCCATCCAAATTTCCGAACATTTCCAAGCAAATTGCCCGTTTCCCAAATTGGGGTAACAGGCGAACAGAAATCAGCAGCAAGCAGCTGAAAACTGGTATAAACTGTTATAAATTGTCCAAGTTCCAAACCATTTAGGAGCCGGCGCAAGTTAGCGGAGACTCAAACCTTTTCAATCCAAATTTAGGTGTTATTTTACAACTGCACCTGGGCACACTGAAACTGATCGTCGTTAAATTCAAATTCAAATTTGGCAGTTAAAATATTTAAAAAAATTTTGT